AAAGACAAGGGACTTTCCTGTGAGATGCGGCTTTTGTCTTTTTTTACAATGTGAGGGCTCTGCACTTATAATCACATATCTTGAATGTGCGCAAGAAGCTAGAGCGTGCACGTTAATATCCTGTGGTTAAGAGAAGTCGAGAAGGAAAGAGGAGAGACATTATTTAATGAGAGGGGGGAATAAAAGTGACAGATTTATTTTTGCTGTCTTTTCCTTCTCATCTTTTTGACCAGTGCACACAGAGTTGAATATTAGCTGAATGAAAGCAGATTTGTTTCAGCAATCAGTCTTTTCAATGGACGCTACAGTGAGTGGGTGTGTTGATTATGGAGCCTGTCATATTGGGTTTGCTGTGTTAGTTTCACGGACGTGAGCCTTCAACAGATCTGCCACTGATGGGAGCAGGAGAGGGATGTGCGGACGGAAGAAACGGCTTGATTAAGGAAAGTGAAGAAATATGCTGAGATAGAGATGATTATATTTGATTTATATGTACAACAGAATTAAACAAAATAACTAACAGGATTGCGCACAAGTTGCAAAAGGGAAAGTGATCTCAACAACAGAAAAACACATTCTTACAAGCCAGTGGGAAAGCACAATTAGTGCCACAAACACAATTGTCCAGCCTGTGTGTGAATCTTTCTGCGTTGTGTCTGTTTATTCTGGACAGGGTAGTGATTTGGGCTGCATATTCCTCCAGGGCTGTCATTTATTTCCTCCTGTTTAGTGCAGAGGACTGCTTTAGTTCTGCTGCGGCTGCTGCTGGCTGAGTGATTCAAAATGGCGTTCTGTCTCCTCTTACTCTGATATGCCTTATTTCTCTCTGAGACAAATACCACTTACATTTTTACTTTTGTAGCAGAAATTATATTTATAACTATCTGTCCCCATTTACAGATTTGAACATGTTAAAAGGAAACAAGTTACCAGTGGTGTAAAGTAACTAAGTAGATTTACTCAAGTACAATTTTGAGATAAGTGTACTTTAATTGAGTATTTCAATTCTTTGCTACTTTGTACTTCTACTCTACTACAATTCAGAGTTAAATGGTTTACTTTACTCCCCTACATTTATGTTATACTGTACTTTTAGTTACTTTACAGATGTGGATGAATGATGTGAAATATAATCAAGTGTTAAATCAGACTTTAGTTCCACCTGGAGTAAATCCACAAGCTACCCTGCAGTATACAAAGTCATTCAAACTAGCTGCACCTTTACCAGCTTTGAGAACACTTTCATGATCAATCATTATAAAACATATCATATATATTATTCTGAAATGGACCAATCTGCACAATGACTACTTTTACTTTTGGTACTTTGAGTATATTTTGATGCCAATACTTTTCTACTTTTACTTGAGGAACATTTTCATTGCAGGACTTTTATTTGTAAATGGGTATTTGACTACACTCTGGTACTTCTACTTTGACTTAAGTACAAGATCTGAGTACTTCTCCCGCCTCAGCAAGTTACTTTTTCACACCAAAATGAATTCATTATCTTCATGTTCATTTAATTTGACTTCCTATTTTGACTTCTTGCATTACTGTTTTCTTGATCTACATATATTTTGCTTATTTGGAGCCTTTTCTTGCCAAGTTCCCCTTAGGTACGGCGTTTTCATCTCGGTGTGACAAATCTATCATAGTAGATCATGTATAAAAGTGTGCTGGCTAACCAGATCACATACTGCTTTGTCGCCTCCTCCCTTCCCTCGTCCTCTGCCTTCCTCCCTGGATCCTCCCCGCTGGTGTGTAATAATATATTTGACTTTGCTGGGCGTCCCCGGGAGGAATTCCTGGTGTTTGGTGAACCTGAGTCTCTCCAGTGTGATTTCAGACGCAGTGGACAGCGGTCATTAATCACTTGGCTGTGACGATGTGACTCATGTTTTTGCGTATGTGTGTTGGAAGTAGCTCTGTTTTCCTTTCCCTGAGTGTCCATCAGCAAACAAATCCTATCTGTTGGTGGGGAAGTGATATTGGGAATGCCAGCGGCGCAAGGGGAATGCCTGTTTTGTTGTTCTTCCTCTCTCTGTTAGTTATTTCCTAGTGCTTAGATGTGACCTCTGGCATGTCACTTTCTCCATGGGGCCCTGGCTGCATGTCGGGGATATGGAGGGTCAAAAAGTGGCTGGCTGTGTGGCCCCGAGGCAACAGCGTCTCACTCTTTACTCGCCAGTCTTTAGAAGCAACATCCTGTTAGGAACGTCTAGAATGACCTCCATCTGTTTAGGGTTTACTTCCTAGCTTCCCAAAGTCACAGTGTGAGTGAGGAGGTGTTTACAGTGAGCATGAGGTCACAATGTTGTCTGACATCTCCAGACGGCCTCAGATACGAGTAGGGGAAAACAAACAGATAAAATAAAACAAAATCCTGGGGTTCATGTTATCAAAGTCATATGCTTGTACAGCTGAAATGCTGAAACGTGGGTGTTATCAAAGATTTCAGAGCATCAAGGTCTGAGAGAATCTGGCCTTCAGAGTGTCACATCACATCTGAATCAATACTTGAAGCTGCAGGGTTCCAGTGCTGTTAGCAGGATCTGACCGTAGAGTCCAGTGAAGTGCCAGCGCTGAGGCGTGTGTATTCTGCTGGATTCTCACACTGAGGCAAGCGCCTATAGGTCAGAGTTAAAGGGGGGGGACCCTGTATCTGATCTCACTGAGGATTAACGGAAGACCATGACCTAGTCCCCGGGGGGCACACACACACAGAGGAGGCATGCCGGATGCACATCCTCACCAGTACACACTTACACACACACACATGTGCAAAGCATTCAACACATGTCTGCACATACTGTACAGAACACACACATCAGAGCGCATCTGCTGCTCCTGGCAGCGCTGTCAGGAGACAACAGCCACAGCTAGTTGGACTGGCTGCTAGGGATATACAGTGCCTACGGAAAGTATTCATACCCCTTAACTTTTTTCACATTTTGTTATGTTACAGCCTTATTTCAAAATTGATTAAATTCATTTTTGTTCTCATTATCCCACACACAATACCCCATAATGACAAAGCAAAAACGTTTTTAAATCATCTTTTGCAAACGTGTTAAAAATAATTAAATGAAATATCACATGTACATAAGTATTCACACCCTTTGCTTTGACACTGAAAATTGAGCTCAAGTGCGTCCTGTTTCCACTGATCATCCTTGAGATGTTTCTATAACTTGACTGGAGTCCATCTGTGGTAAATTAAATTGATTGGACATGACTTAGAAAAGAACACACCTGTCTATATGAGGTCCCACAGTTGACAGTGCATATCAGAGCACAAACCATTATATATATGAATTATAACCAAGGGCAAATTGATTTGGTGGTGAAAAGGTGAGGGTTGCATTGACCTCATAAAAAATAATTTTGTCTAAACTTTAGAATTCCTATACTAAAAATAGCAGTTTCTCAAAAATGTCTACGTAGGATAAAATTATGAGATGATTACATTTTGCAAATGCATAAATGTGGGCTTTAACTTAACTGATTGGAGGAAGAATAGCCAACACAAACGAGGTGGTTATCGTTCTATTAATATCCATAATGTCTTTATGACACAGCAGTCAATGATAACATCCATTCTAACAAACCTAACACCAAAAGCAAATGAATACACTGTCATATAAAAGAGAGACAGCCCATTTGAATGAGATGGTGCATGTTATTCTAATTTGTTGACGTTTCTGTGAAGAACTGTGCTGTTGTTTTCCAGTGAGCCTCCCTCACATGGGATCACACAATATCACAAGCTTTATTAGTTAGTTTTCAGAAGTAAAGGCTCATATATACAACAATATTTCCTCTGCTTTTTCGTTCCCTTTTGACATGGCCTCCTGCCACTAACAACAGCTGCTAATGTGGCTCACTGCATGGATGCTGTATCTGTGTGTATGGAAGCTAAATATGGCAGTACCTGGCACTGGTCAAATCTCACGTGTGTTGTTTGAATGTTGTGCTTACAAACAACAGATGTCCTGTTTCAAGTGCAGAAAGGAGTAATGCAAATCCTCTAAGATTGTTTTCCTCCAACTTCTTAACAAGCACTTATTCAATTTTTGGGTGAGAGGTTAAGAGTGGGATTAGGTTTGGGTTACTCTAAATACCTCACCTTCACCTTCAGAGATGGAGTTGAGATAGGTCTGAGATAAGCATTTAGATAGCAAAGGGTCAATGTAAGTATGTTGATGTATGTGTCAGGCCATAGTCCTGCTTGGTTCATGGGACTGTCTTCTCCCAAATATGTAACCCTCCTCAGTGGGAGATCAGCAGACATAAGCACATAATGACAGGAAGGGATGAGTCCAACCTCAAGTCCCCGATAGCAACGATAACGTTCCCTCTACATGTCAGCAAATTCCTCTCTCACCCTTCCCCAACACCCAGGGATATCTTCACAATCCTTCATGAGCAAGTGCCAACTAAGACATCTGACGGGCAACAGTGGGACTTTCCCACCTAAGTAAAAGTTCTCTTTGTTCCTGCTCAGAGGCAGATGGACAGGCTGTTTGGACGCCTCCGCTCCTGTTTGATATTTCAGTTTAACGAGGTAGGGAGGTGGCGTCCGTGGGATGGGATCATAGACCCAGACCCAGCTTCATCAGCAATCTACAAGTGTTAGCGACTGTAAACGCCTCTGGCTACAGGAACGGCCACTTTAATGATGGAAAGAATTCATTGCATATCGTAAAGCCAAAGAGCTACAGTTGTTTCAATCTCCCAAAGTAAAATTAATAAGCAATGGACCCTTTTAATCCCACCATCCTTTATTGACATTTTCACATGGAAAGACCTATAATATGATATGCAGTATGTACATATTGCTGATGTAAGCTTGACTGTGCTTATTTGGAATGTACTGTATGTGTTTCCTGAGTGTCTTAATGCCTTCGTTTCCATACTCTGTTGGCGGTAGATCAGGAGGAATAAATCCCCTGTTCTTGTGTAACACCATGTTTGTCTTTTTCTCCTGTCTTTAACAGATTCCCTTTGTACCCCAGAGGAGAGCGCTTTCATTTTGAATACGGTGTCTACTTACTCAACAAGAACATAGCCCAGGTATGAACACACTCATAGTGCACACATATTTGCTACCAATGAATGAATGGTAAATGGGACAAATGTGAGGATTTGAGGAGAACATTTTCTAAAGAAGAAAAACTCATTTCTATTGTAAGATCATTCTCCTGTTATCCTATTGTCGACCAAAGGGGATTTACTGAAGTGCTTTCAACGAATATACTACATTTGAATAGTAAGAAGTCTGATCATCTGTGGGAAAAAGCAATGCCTCTTGGCCCTTTAATACGCTACAAAATATGAATAGAATTACCTTGAGTAAACAATGCATTTGTTGGGGACTATTTCCACCTGCCAATCTGTGTGTTTGGTAGTATTTTATTGCAGAGAGACTGCATCCGGGACAAAAGCAAACATGAAAGACGACCAAAGTTTGGTCCAGACTGTAATCACATGGGTGGAATGGATTGCAATGGCATTTTATACAGTTGTTAATGTTTCCCTGAACATTGACAATCCTATAACTTAAAGGTGTGCTATCATGCAAAATGCACTTTTTGATGTCTTTTATACATAAATATGTGTCCCCGGTGTGTCAGGGAACTCACAAAGTTTCAGAAAATAAAACCCTCTCTCTTTTCCTCCGTACCCAAATCTCTAAAAACGGGGGTACAACGGAGCTGATCCAGATTTGCGTCCGATATGACGTAATATCAGAGATGTGGGCTGGCTTTACACCCACGGCCCTATCAGAAACGTTGCTATCAGAAACAATGCGCGACGTGTTTTGGAAGTAATATGGTCTTTGTTTACATTAGCAAGCATCGGTAACACTCAGAGCTAACCTGTACTGGAGAGAGTATGTGTAAAAAAGCAGGAAATAAAAAAAGGTACTCACCTTGTGGTAAACCCGCAGGAAAAAAGCATTTGAGCTCCATACTGTTTCAGAAATAATCCTTGAAGTGGTTTGGAACATGATATGGCGTTTCATCACATCTATTTTGCTTATTTGAGCAGAGTAGTCAGCCTGCTCGTCACAGACCTCACTGCTTGCCTTACCGTGCTCCAAAGGGGGCGGGGCCAGCAGCTACAGTCACAGAATCAGACCTTCTCTAACAGGGCTGAAACAGAGGGATATGAGGGATGTCTAAAATGCATGATTTGTTTGGTATTTTGAGCAAAACACATCATAGACATGTTTTTTATATATTTTTATATATATATATATATATATACCATGATAGGAGATCTTTAAGATCTAGCCCCGTCAGGTCAAAATGTAAGTAGTCCAGGACCTTCGACACTAATGACATTGGCCTCATTTGTCAGTAGCACTCTTGCCCATAAACATATGATAGATTAGGCTTGGGCTACACATGTAGCGTACTTGTTGTAATGTCAATAGATTTTTGTTCTTGGTCTTTTCACCGTATTTGTTGATAAGAAGAAAAACAATGGAGTATCACCAGATTTTGAAGGAGCGGATGGTCACAACGTGAAATGTGTCTGCGTGTGCAGCTGACATTTTGTACACAAGTTGAATTAATGCTCTAAATTGGTTTCTCTTTCTCCTCCCATCTCCCATAAACACCTCAGGGGACGGTTGAACCCTTGACCTGTCCCTGCTTATTAAAGTACACCTAATATGTTGACCTTGGTTACTCCCTCCATTCATCCCTCACACAATTTGCATTCCATTGCCTGTTTTCTTCCTCATCCAGGCGAGAATGAAGGGCCTCTCCCCTGAAAAAGACCAGGCAATTAGCGTTAGCAGGTGGCTGACTTCAAACTACTGCACATTGGGAGGTTTAGGTTCGAATGCCAGACCACAAGCTGCTTGCCAATATCCCAATCTGCCATCTTACCGATGACCAGAGTCCAAGTATACCAAAATAAGCCAGATAAGAAAAGATGTTAGACACCAAATGAAAATAATTGCTGTGCAAAACCATAAAAGGGAACGATAAATCAGCGTGTTATTTTACGAATCCAAAATAGAAAACAATATTTTATGTAACGTAGTGTACATGTAGCTTAGTGTAGATTGTACAATGGCAAACTCTATGATGACACTCATCCATCATGTCTGATACATTATAGGTATAGCTATATTTCACACACTTTTCCTTAAGTGGCTGCACTATGTGCACAGCATACACCCTCTGTCTTGGGACCCTTTATCAAGTAAGGAAATCATCTCAAAATATAGTCTTTGACAGGGAAAGAGGAAAAAACCTTTTCAGATTGAAAATAAAAGGGAACACTTTTTAGGACAGACAAAAATAGAGGTTATTTAAAAAAAATATTGTACCTTTCTGTTTGTTATGTTAAAACTGATTCTTAGAATAACTTGGTTTATAAACACACTGAATAGAGTTTATTGCAATTTAGGATAAGTTTTAGGATTTGTTTTAAACCTTAATATCCACATACTGTATGTATGCCCAGAGGAAAAGGATTTTAATATGCATGACACTACTGTATGTCATCTTCTTCACATGTACAACATTTGGCATGCAGTCATCTCAATGCATATTATCGCCTTCAACTCGCATAACCCTCACACATAATCATTTTTATAAAAGCCACACATCATGATCTAACCTATTGAGATTTGGGTTTTATTCATTTTAACAGTCCAATGCACCTCTCCATGCTCACCCTTGCTGAAAGTTTAATTTGACTTCTGATAGAAGGCACATGTAGGTGGCTTGAGGAGAAGTATTCTTTATCTGAATCAGCTTCCTGGTATGAACATTAGTATAATATTTCTGAATTTGTGCTGTCAGTGATGGAGAGATGTCTCCTCTGCTACTCAAGAATGGAACATGTTCGTATGAGCTTCAAAGGAATATATGCACAGCAGGGGGAAATGAGATCCAGATAGTCAAATGTTTTACCTTTTTTCCATGAAACCAATACATAAAGATTCAAATGTAAGGTCTTGAAAACAGATGTAAACCATCAGCTCTAATACAGGTGGGCACATGTGAGAAGTGTGTGATAACTTTGTAGAGGAATCTGTAGGGTGATCATTTTATAATTGACAGCATGACATCTGTGGCTCATTTCTGTCACCCTCATGGACAAAGGGTGCACGGCAAATTAAATATAATCCATGCACACATCAAATAGTTTATTGAACCTGTATTGTAAGGTTACTTATATTTCTACAGTCAGCAATGCTAAAGTTCCCGCTTTTCACAGCTTTGTAAAGCAGCAGTATTTGACGGTATGACATTTCATTGTCCGTCTCATGCATTCCATGTGTGCCTGACTACGTTCACGCTCAGAATGAGTTATCAGGTTGACTCCAAAACAATATAATGGTGCAACAAGAGAGCTCCCGCTCCATGTGATAGTGATAATACACCATTGTTTCAAAAACTGAAGCAGCAGCAAACATGTCACAGTCGATAAAATGGAACCCAGTGCAAACAGAGATTCCTCATGCCTCTTTGGTCGCATATCCAATTCAAATGTGTTCTCCTGCAAGTCTGGGATCACACACGTAATACTGGGAAAGTCTACACAACTGTTTTGAATGGTGGCTGTACTAACCTACACATTGTGGCTGGATCATCTTCTGCTCATATCATTCATGAACAGACAGCATTATAGTTGCAGCATACAGTCTTTATTACCTTTGTTTGTAACTTTTCTTCCTTGTCTTTAATGTTTGTTAAGCGATGCATGTTATGCAGCCTGTTAGATGTCTGGCTGTGTGATATAAAGCAGAGATCTGGTTTCACAGCAGACCGTCTGATTGGCTGGTTTGCTGACGGGCTTGAGCCTGGGTGGGGGACATTAGCTGTCCATCTCTTATTAAATTGCCCTGTGTGGCTGTGTTTGAAAGCGATACAGAGATGCTGGCGAAGGATCAGGGCCGCAGCAGGTCGAGTCTGCTTTGATGTGGCGGAGGGAGAAGTTTGCTTTTATTAGGCTTCATGTCATGAGGCCGGGGGCAAGGCTGGGTCCTGGATCTGAGGTGGTAACACACTCCCAGGTTGCCACCTCGGGTCAATGTGCTTGACAGGAGAAGTAAAGAAAGGCTTCATGGAGATGCAGCCATTCTCAACTGCTCCTTCCTATTTCTTGTGCAATCAGTACATATTGCAAAACGCCTGAGGGACTCATGTTTATGTGGAGTGTTAATATATGTTCTCTTTGGTCCCAGTTGAACTTGTAACAGAAATTAGTTTCTCTTAGCAAAGTTGTTAAATGAATGCCATATTGCCGTCATTTCCTTGAATTAGTTGGCCACAGGTATGTAGCTGGGCCTGAAGTGCAACCACTGGGACACAAACATGTTAAACCTGCCATTCCTCCATTCACAGAGAGAAATTGTCCAAGTGAGTGTGGCTGACTCAAAGGAAATCCAGCAGCCTTTTGTCTGGAGGCACGCCATGTGTTATAGACTCGCACTGTATGTTGTCCACTAGGCTACGTTGTTGTGAAACCAGCATGTGGGGCTGATTAGATGACAACCAATGCTAAGCTAGCTCTTTAGGCGCAGCAATGAGCTCTTAGTCACTAAGCCTGCCGTATCATATGTTGTGGGGCACAGGAAAGCTAGTATTGGAATTCAAACTCAGCAAATGTGTTGTGGCCCGAGCAGATGACCTCTGAGTTAAACTTGATTTGAGTCTACTGGGGAAAGTCGCCTGCAGTCTCCCACCTTCCAAGTCTCAGTGCAATTTTACACCATGACCTGCAGGCAGAGTGCCATTCTGGTGGTCTGAAGCAAACGTCAGAGAGCCGAGAGCCATTAAGAGTGGCAACTGTGGCTCCATAAAACACAGTTATGACTCATGGGGGAGCCTACTGTGTTTAGCGGTTAGTGGAGGTGGCAGCAGCGGAACAGGAGCCGGTTGGGTGGAGGGATTCATTTTGAAGCTATTTGGAAAACGTTCTAGGTGCTTTAGCAAGAGTACATTTTGCCTAAAAATGACTTAATATAATGAACAGTAGAAGTGTGGAAATTTGTAACTAGACGTGGTAAATATCTAGGGGCATTTTGCAATATTTTGTACATGACT